AGTGAGTGCGGGTCATGTGTCCACAGTGATGATTGTCCATGCTGAAAGATAATCTTCAGAGATACACAAATGTCCAATAACATGCATGCACAGAAACTGAGTATCACTAACCACTGAGGACACCAAACCAGACCCACAGTGAAATACTACCTCATACTCATGGAAATGGCCATTATCTAGAAGCAGCCAGTGCTGACACAGAAGTGAGGCTGAAACCTGTGCTCTTGGTGGCCATGTGAAAGGCACAGCAGCCACACAACACAGTACACAGAACGCAGGCAATTGCCATGTGAACCAGCTGCTGTGGGCATGTGTCCACAGACCTACTGGAAGCATGATCTCAAAGAGGTACCTGCACATCCATGTCCACAGAAGCCAGTCCGTGTCCATCAACAGATAGGGGTGAGAAGACTGTCACTTTTAAAGCTTAAACATATTTAAGCTTTAAAAAATACCTCTCTCTCTCTCTCTCTCTCTCTCTCTCTCTCTCTCTCTCTCTCTCACACACACACACACACACTATATGAATGAGCCCTGAGAACATTGCAAGAAGTGAAGTAAGACAGCCATGAAAGACCGTGCTGTTGGCTTCCACTTACGAAGGTAATAGTCCTCCAGGAGAGGGGCAGTAGAACGGTGGTGAAAGGGAAACTTAATGGACAGTGTCTGGTTTCTAAGATGAAACCTTCTTCTTGATGGTGTGCATCCATGGTAACACACTACACGTTATAACATGGTTAGGAGGGAAAGAAGCTAAAATAAGTGGAGAAGTGGACATCTGTCCTGTTGGTTTTATCACAGTTGCTTGAAATTCAATTTGTTTTTATGAAAATCCATTCAGAATAAACGGGGGGTAGGCAGTGCAGGGAAGTAGGAGCCTTAGAGCAAACTGTTGCAGACCATACGCTACTTGGTCATATTCTTAGCCCTGAGCTCCAGTGACTAGCAGCCCCGGTTTCTGCTCCCAGTGTTCCCTGGAACCTTCCTGTCAGGCCGCTGAGTTTGTTTCTAACATGTTAAATGAGAAAATGCCTCCTACCTTATAGAGCCCTGGTGTGACAGATAGCAGTATTGTACAGTGCCCAACAGGACCCAAAGCCAAACCAGGCTCTGGCTGAGAACTGGCCTCTCAGGCTTTGGTCCTGCCTCTCTCCTGAGCTGCCTGGAGGAAAGGTTTCTTTTCCTCATGTTGAATCTCTGGAGATTAAGGAAGGTACTGGCAGCTGTGAACACTGCTCTATTTGTACCTCACTGCCCTCTGTTCATCCAAGGCTAGGCTTCCTGGCTTCTCTGTCAGGAACTCTCTCCAGTGGGAGGGTCTTACCCCCACGGACTGGCCTGACCCTGCCCGTGCTATCCAGGGATGTGACCAGGGCCATCATCATCCCTCTCTTTTTCTGACACAGCCTAACTATGCACGGTGACATCGCTGGGCTCAAACTCACAATCTTCCCATTTCCACAACCCAAGCTCACATTAAGGGTGTCTACCCCACACCTGGCTGACTGTGCTTTACAGCAGTCCTTGCAGAGGGCAAAGAGGGGTGTCATATTTGGGTGTCATGTGTGCCTCCAGAGTACCCAAAGTACACCAGCAGTTGCTGCTTTTCCTTCCCCATTCTCTCCTGCCTCAGCAGGAGGAGAGGCGAGTCCCGTTGCGCTTCTACCCTCTGTCTGGCTCTAGCCATCACCAGGCTGTCTCTGATGCTCTCCAGTCTGCTCACTGGTGCCCAGAGCACACTTGAATCAGCTGCAGTAGAGCAGAGCCTCTCACCATTTTCCACACGCACTACTGCCTGGCCCCTTGCTTTCTCTTCACACATCAACCCTCTTGAAGAGGGAAATGTGTCTTTGTAAAGGGAGTGGATTGCACAGGGGACAGTGAAGACAGTGAGAGGAACAGACCCCTTTATCCGGGCTTTCTCCCCAGTGCCATTTCCATAGCTCGTACACGGTTTGAGCCCCAAATGGCTGTTGAGATGTAATTCCAGTATGAGGTAGAGGGAGGGCAAAACATTGTTTAGTGATGCTGGAATGAGAGCCATGGTCTTGCCCGTGCGTGAGGGAAGGGGTGGGGCGCTGGAGATGACTGAGGGTTCTCTAAGGTCACTAAGGGATTGAATATGTTCTCTTATAAGAAGACGCATGCACGCCTTTTGCACCCACTAAGGAATCTGCCACTAATAAGACCGTCGCAAGGTCTGGGCTCTGCAACTTACAGGAATTGGAGAGGGGGGGAAACTTTATGAGGTTGCCTTGCTTAGGCATTTCATTACAGTTATATAAAATGGACTATTGTCCATTCAGTGATGGCAAAAGAAGAGAACGGGCAATGAAACTCTGAAAGACAGAAAACAGGAGTGAGTGGTGACTGACTGGGCAGGCTGGCCACACCAGATCCTAAGTTCCTGCACAGTGAAGAGGCCAGAGAGGTACAAGCTGGCTGGTGCTCAGGAAGTGGAAGCTCTTGGAGTGGGAAGGCATGGGCATCATGCAAGGGGCAGGGACAGGCCCACCCAAGTCTCTCAAACCTAGCTGAGGAAGACAAGTTCCTTCTAATGTGGGTCCAGGGAGAGTTGCAATAGCACTCTGAAAATATATTTTAGGAAAGACTTCGTATCTGCGGGGACACACACACACACACACACACACACACACACACTTGCCAGCTGCTAAATCCATCTCACCCTCCCATTATAGTCTCACTTCCAGAAAGACTTTAAGAGAAAAGGACAGACATGGGAAGAAAAGGGAAAGAAAAGAGGTAGGGAGAAGGACATAGTGCTGTGTGTGCAGCAGAGTTATGAGCGAAGAGACACCCGGAAAATGCTAGGAACACATACAGTGGCGAAGGTGCTTCAGATGAGTAGAATAAAGACCTGAGGTGGAAGGAGAAGAGAATGCTGGGGGCTCATTCCTGGCCATTCTCCATCTTACATCAGCAGATCCAGAACTAGGATCTGTGACCACAGCAATGAACTGTCAGGCTGGAACTCCCAGAGAGGGAATGAAGAATCCACTTGAGCCCCTGTCATCATCACTTTTCAGAAACCAAGGGGTCTCAGTGCAAGGCAAAAGCAGAGGTTGGCCACCCTAGCAGGTACCTGGGTACCTGGAAGACAGTGAAAGTACACCTGAACCCTCTCAGTGTTCCCTCAGTTCCCTTCCTGTCATACTGTACACCAGGAAGGAGAGGACTCGTGTGAGCTCTGAGGGGTCCATCAAGGAACAGGTAGGTCGGACACTGGAGTAGCTGGGGCAGCCTGATGTCTTTCAGAAAAGGTGAGGCTAGCTGACCACCACAGAGACCCCAAGCAGGAGATCCATGCAAAACCAAACACTCAGAGCAATTGTGAATTCCAACAGAAATTAGAACACGCTGGAGAAAAGCACTCATGCCCCAGTCCCCTATGTGCCTTAGTGGAGTCTGCATAGCTCCGGGGCAGAGGCCAAACGCTCTGCACAGAAAAGTGTCAGGTCTTTCAAGTAGAAGGGCATGAAGTGATGGATCCATGCTAACAGGCACGAAAGGCTGTTGAGTGACAAATCATCATCCACCCATTTTCAGGGCCTGAAGCAGATTATGTGATTATGTCATTTTATGGCTGGTGAAAAGTTCAGGGATCTGCCTGTAGTTATAAAGGTTAGCTCAAGCTTTCAACAGCAGTTTGATTTTCAAGTCTGTAACTCGTCTTAGTTATTGTTATATTGCTGTGAAGAAACACCACGGCCAAGGCAGTTTATAAGAGAAAGCATTTAATTGGGGGCCTCCTCACAGTTTCAGAGGACCAGTCCATGGCCACCATGGTAGGGAGCATGACAGGAGGCAGGCATGATGCTAGCACTGGCTAAGAGCTCATGTTACCTGCAAGGTGGAGGCCGAGTGAGACTGAGCCTGGCACAGGCTCTTGCAGCCCCAAAGCTCAGGTCGAGTGGCACACCTCTTCAACAAGGCCTCCCCTCCTAATCCTTCCTAAACAGCCAATCAGTTTGGAACCAAACACTTGAATATACGGGCCTATGGGAGCCATGCTTATTCAAAATATTACACACTTTAAAACACTGCTCTGTTTCTTGTGGAGGAAAGTAAGACATGTAAAATGTCAAAGAGCAGCACAGACAAATTGTGACAGTTATTGATCCTTTCTCCAGGGACTGGTGCAGGCCAGGCGATGTGTTTTATGTTGCTAGCCCACGCTTCCTGTCCCTGCACTGGGAATTCCCATTCCCAAAGCCCCGTACAGGTTGGCGTTGCTGGAAGGGGCAGTGGAGCATTGACAGGGTGTGGAGATGACCTGCTCCTGTGTTTCCGTTTTCTACCACATTTTACATGAGTCTGTAGCCCAAACTTAGGCAAATGGTAGTCCTACATGGAGTTTAGGTTGCTGCTGTAGCCACCATGAACTGTCCTTTCCCTCTAATACCTTGAGAAAGAAAGCTACGGTGGGCCCACAGGTGCTGTGGAGTTCTCTGGGTCTTAAGTATTGGGTCGGGAATGTGTTACTGAAACCTTGGTTTGCCCCAGAAGCGGGGATTCAGGTTGTTACTTATGTATGCATAAGTATTCTCCTTATTTATAATATTTGCTGTGGGGACATCAAAGCTTCTTCAAAGACTGAAAGGTAATTATGCCTGCAGGTGTTGGTCCCTGACTAAGATGTTCCCGTGTGACAGACAACTCTCTTCTTAGGCTCAGTACCTTCTTCCAGTCAACAGTGACAGTGCATGGCTGGCCTCCCCTGGACTTGAGTGCCACCTCATGGGTAGCTGCTCACTCAGGTTTGCAAGCTTGCGGAAGTTGCCACAGGGGCCTGGCCAAGGCCTCTCTCTGATAGTGATTTAGCTTCTGCTGGGACAATGCGGTGCAGTGCAGAGTTTGTGTCAGTTCTGAGGTCAGGCCTGTGTTCCTGAAACAGTACAGTGTCACAGAGACCCGAGTGAGCCACTTGCACTTGGTGGCCAGCTGGAAAAAGGCTGTCTGTTTTTCTGTTCCAGACCCCTGTGACCGCCACCTGAGATGTCCAGGGACTGTCTCCATATGTGGGCTGTGTGAGACCTGGGTCCGTCTTCCTGGTTGTGCAGCGTGGCTGACCGCCCACCTTAGCATTGCTGTGGGGGCTGTTGGCCGGGTGTGTTGGTATTCTAATGCCAGATACTCAGAAGGCCGTGAGGCCGGAGGGTCCCTGGAGCTCAGGGTTGCAGAGCGTACAGACACTTGGGTGATTGGGTAAATGTTCTTCCTGTAAGGCTTAGAGTCTGAACTACACCCCTAGCCCAGACTGTGTCTCACTACAGAGCTTTGGCTGACCTAGAGCGTGCTGTGTCGACCAGGCTGGCCTTTACTTTCCTTGGCCTCCCAAGTGCTGGGATGAAAGGTGTATGTCACGACACCTTGCCTCCCCTCCTCCCCCGCAGCTCAGATTTTTGAACTTGGTAATATTTGCTCCTCTCTCTAGGCTAGGGCCTGCAGACTCCAGGGCAGGCTGGCCTAGTGCTTCTTTCAGATCTTAAATAGCTAGAGAAAGCAATTCACGACACGCGAAAACCACATGAACGTCTGTGTGCCACAGGCAAAGTTTAACTGCAACATTCCACCCTGCCTTCTCTTCCTCTCGAGCATGGCCAGCAGAATGGAGGATGCCCCGAGGGAGCGCTTTACCTGCTGATGTGCCCATTTGCTCTCTCTTCCACAGTGTCTGTAGCGAGATGGCCCACGTCTTCGTGTATGGCACCCTGAAGCGAGGCCAGCCCAACCACAAAGTCATGCTGGACCGTTCACATGGCTCAGCAGTCTTCCGAGGCCGGGGCTGCACGGTCGAGTCCTTCCCCCTGGTGATTGCGGGTGAGCACAACATACCTTGGCTGCTGAACCTGCCAGGCAAGGGCCGCTGTGTGGCAGGCGAGATCTACGAGGTGGATGAGAAGATGCTGGGCTTCCTGGACGACTTCGAAGGCTGCCCTAGCATGTACCAGCGCACAGCCCTGCAGGTGCGGGTGCTCGAGTGGGAGGGGGCCCGGGGCCCTGGGGACTGTCTTCAGTGCTTCGTGTACAGCACGGCCACCTATGCGCCCGAGTGGCTGCATCTGCCCTGCCATGGGTGCTACGATTCTGAGGGCCCACACGGGCTGCGCTACAACCCCCGGGAAAGCAGGTGAGAGTCGAGTGCCCTGGATGCCAACAGGATGAAGGGAGCCTAGCCTGGTGGCTGCCTGGCACAAGCAGAGCTTTCCCAACTCAACATCTGTCTATAAAACATGCTGACAAAGGTTTCTCTGCGACACAAATTTTGCAAATACTCTAATCTGATATTACTTAAACTTGCTCTAGTCAAGGAGCACGTGGGCTTGCAGGTGCTAGACGAGAAGCACTCTGGGCTAAGGTCCCTTAAGTGGCAGGTACAGAGCCCCTGTACTCCTTACTGCTCCTTTGGTTTGGTCTGCTCTAACTTGATGATGGCATCTTCTGAGACTTCAACACTGGGCTGCAGCTGGGCTCAGAAGTTGAACATACTGATTCGCACATACGGACAGAAAGAAGTGGCAGGAAATTTTGGTTTGGGCTAGAAAGATCAGCATAAAAACATTTTCAAGAAAAGTATGCTGTAGCTACACTTTGTACTCCCTCCCCCCCCTGGAGTTTCCAGATCACATACACACTGTTAAAATGACCATTAAAATACAAGTATGCTCTTGCCGTTTGGTCCTTCTTTTGGTGCACTTCCTTGGTAGAAGGTGTTTTTCATTCTAACTGAGCAAACTCGGGAGCACTAACTTGCCGGGAGACACAGCCAAGCCTTAGGCTTTGTAGCGTTGATGGGCACCCGGCTCTCAGCAGTGGTGCGGCCCTTGGGGGTGGGCCTTTCAGAAGAACTAACACATTAGTAATTTGCTCCTCAGGTCTGACAGAAGGCTTTGCTTCCAGATACAAACAGCACTTAAAATAATGTTCAGCAGACACGAAGCACCAATTACCACCCACCTCCATCTGATAATCCGTCAGCATAGATGCAAGTTGCACGTGAGTCGGCTTCTGCCTCCCAGTGAAGTAGAAAATGGATTCCAAGAATTGCAGAACCAAATGCAGCTGCTAGCTGAGCACGCTGGCACTCCGTTAGGAGCACTCACCCCTCCGTGTGACGGGGACTGATCGCTAACTGCAGCTGGCACAGAAACGTGACTTATTTTTAGCCCCTTTTCTTTACTGGAAACTTGCTTTACAAAATAGAGGGGTAAATATGGGTGTCAGCGGAGGGGCTGGCAGCCCTGCACACAACAGTGAAGGTGAGGCGTCCTAGCCATAGGGAGAGAGACCTGGACTCCTCAGTCATCCATGCGACCTTGTGTAGACCCACACAGAACGGAGTTTCTAGAATCTTCATGTGTGCTACCTGGTCTGAGAAAGTCAAGTTAGGAATCATGAGCCCCAGGAGTCCGTCCTGAATGATGGAAGAAGGAGTCAGATTATAAAGTGGCAAAAGCTAATAAAGTTGGAAGCAGAGAACTGGAATTTATATAGATTTTTAAAGGATCACAATGAAATACTGGTATTTACAGTCAGTTGGCACAGGCTGTCGCCTCTGTGTATACTGTCTTCATTCAGAAAAAAGGGCACACTAATATTTAGACAAATGCTTGGGTTTATTGATTTAATTTTGACACTAGGAAATCTCAGCAGAAGTACAAATCATATGTACAAGTATTTATATCAATAAAAATTTCCGTTGGTGATTTTTTTGGCAGAGTGTCGGTTTTGCCGCATCTGAGAACTAAATCCAATGCTGTAGAACCTGTGGCACAGGAGTGCTCCTGTGAATGCTTGAGCAAACTGAGGGTTTGAGGGTTTGAGGGTTAGAGGATAACGGAAATGTTAATTAAAGCGGTGATAACTGAAAGGCTGGAAATACTTCATTCCAGCTCCACAAGCAAATCTCCTTCGCCAACTGTGTCTCCAGCTTTGCAATGCACCAGTTTCACCTTGAATTAAAATGGAAGGGGAGGAGTGAGAAAGAGAAATTAGAACCAGTAGGGCCACTAATCCCAATGTGTCATGAGGAATAAGTGGCCTTAGGCCCTAAAACTTCGGTCAGACCCTCCTGCTCACATCCGTCTGCTTAAGGGACGGATGTGAGCACAAGAATGTCCTGGCAGAACCTGGGCTTCACTCCTGCCCTTCAGGGAACTGAGGCTACGGATTGCGTGTAGGCCCCATTACTGGGCCACCAAGGCCAGGCCACAACTTGTCCCATGCTGGTGACTGATGCATCTTATCCCTGCTTCATCCTGTGGCTTTGTGACTAGAACGTGTGTTTAATATCATGGTAAAAACCAAAGATCCATACCACAACTCAACTGCAAGGAAAGATCTCCCAGCCTGACGACATCCTTCTTTTGAAAGGAATGAAATAACCCAATGTAACCCTCAGTTCTGTGACATAGACTGTGGGACTGTGTTTTATCCTTCGGCTTTCTCCTGAACACAAGCCTGTCTTCTCCAGATTGGTGTGCAGATTTTAAAGGAGCAGGCAGAAGACTGGAGTGTGTAGGCAGTCATCGCTTCTTTCCTTGGAAATGGTTGCTTAAGCTGTGAACAAGCAGTCGCCCTATGGCATTAAGCCAATCAGAATGCCAGGAACCGCCCAGGTTGGTGCACAGCCTTGTGCTTCTGGCCCTCCATGGCACGCAGAAGGGCAGGCTCTCTTAGCCTCCAGCCCGGCGCTCCCAAGAGCAGCGCAAAGCCATGCAAATGAGGCTCAAAGGCTCTGCTGGGCAGACTCTAGAGTCAAGCATGTGGTGACGGTGGGACGCCGACTAGGCCTGTGGGCCTGTCTCCACCCTGAGCCTTTCTCAGAGGACAAATGACCCTTCCAAGTTCTCCAAAGGAAGAACTACCAGCTCCAGACACAGCCTGGGCCACTCCTTTGTCTCACCTGGCCGAACTCCAGAGGCTTGTGGATCAGGCTGGAATGAATGGACAGGGGGGACTTGAGCTGGGGGGTCTGCCTAACGCAGACTTGTCCCAATGGCACTCCCGCCCAGGCTCAGGATAACAGCAGGAAGCAGAGAAGACATTCAGCTTATTGGGCCCTATGCTACCTCAGACATTTAGGGTGTGCTGCATCAATACCTCAGCCCAGCCACACAGGGCCCTTGGCCTGACTCTACACCCACTCTTGGTCCCCACAAGAAAGCCGAGTTCTTACCATGGCACTAGCGCAGTGTTCATAAAGAACAAGCAGAATTGAGTTTTACCTGAATCGAAGCTCATTATTTTTGTGTCCATAGTTTTTTGGGAGCTCCTTATGATTTAACTGCCTCTGTCTCCTAGAGTATGAGGCACCAAACTCAGCTTAAAAATGGTTGTTAAGACCCTGCAGATCCATTTGACACTGTCAAAGCTCTCAGACACTGTGTGGCTATCTTAGCTTGCTCCAACCTGGCAGCCAGACTGGGGCCATTTGGTCTGCTGGGACCCCTGTAATTTCCCTGTGGGGAGCAAGTAGGACAACGCTAGGCCTTCTGAGGATCCAACGTTGGCTTTGGAGTTAACAAACGTAAGACAGAGTTTTACGAACTCTGAGTGATGCAGACTTGGTTGTAACGGACATCTCTCTCTGTACTCAGTGTCCCCAAAGTGCTGCCATGGTGCAGGCCAGAGCTTAGGACACAGCCTCTGCTGCTGTCCTCACCTCCCCAGCACATTCTACTATAAAGATACTTCCAAACCAAACATCCTTTGGGAAGGGGACGTATTCTGAATGACGGCATCTCTTTAGTCACAGAAGAACAGGAAAGTGATGCTTTTGACCAGTACCCCTTTCTCTTGTCTCCTCTGAATCATTAAGTTCCTCACATGCACACTGGGCTTCGGCTCCTCCATCTACAATGGACTTGTTCCCTTCGAGGGGAAATTATCTTGAAGAGTTACATTAATTTTTGCAATCTGTAAAACCATTTCCTGCTGTGTCACCTAAGTCTCAGATAACTAACTGCCTCTGAGACAGATGTAAACATTAAAAATTAAAGACCTGTTCATCTGAAAGACATTAGCATGGAGGACAAATGTGCTTTGACTACCTGAACATAACACATAGACCCCTTTCTGGAAGGCCTGCTCTCCAGGAGACAAACACACAGTCTGTGTGTGCAATAGAGTGCCCCAGTCCGAATGTCCTCTCTAGGAAAGGGACCGGGCCAGAAAGCGCCTCTGTATTCTGTTTCAGGAGACCCACCCATGTCTCAAGGGTAGAGAGAGCCTGTATCCATCATAGGCTGGAGTAGGCTAGTAGGAACTTGGGGACATACCTTGCCCATTTTCCCAGCTGTCATACTGTTCTGCATTTTCATAGCTTCAATCACACAGATTTCCTGACCTTCTGCTACCTGGAAAATAAGTTGAAAATAGATGTTTTAAGAGCATTTCTAATTTTACAGTAACATCCAAGAGTGAAGCCATTAAATTCTTTGTCAAAGGTGCTGACTGGTCATGGAAACACCAGCGACCTCTGATGGCTCCCACTGCAGCACCAGCAGGGAAAGGATGGTCACTGTGTTTCAGGCTCTCTTCAGAAAAGCCTGTATTGGAAGAGCACAAGTGCAGAGTACCACCCGGGGACATAGGGCTGGGCCAGAGCTGCTACAAGACCATCTCCTTAACACATCCTGCGGCAGGCAGCTGCCTAAGGACCAAGGCTCTCATTAGAGTTTGTCGGGGTCTGCAGGCAAGGGTGTGGCTACCAAAGGGTAAAGGTTTCTTTATAGAGTAATTAAAAAATGTTCTCCAGGTGACTATGGTATGCACAGCTATACACAGACCCCACTAGCTACTTGTCTGCTTTAAAGGGATAAAGGGGTCAGCATGGGAATCAACATTCAGTAATCCCTTACCAAAAGACGGCATGTGTTTACCTTCATCCTGGGAGCTGAAGAAAACAGCCTAGCACCGGGCCGACAGGACCGCCGCCCCTCTACCAGGCATGAAAGCATGGAGGTGGCTTCTGGGGAAGCCATGCCCTGGCCTTACAAGAAGGCTCCACAGGTCCCTGCTCCAGCCTTGCTTGGCTTGCCTCTGACACTGGGAGAGATCCAGGCTGCACACAGACCACAGGGTCCATCTACGGCTCCAGCCTGTGTTCCCTTGCTTGGCTTTGCCTCTGACACTGGGAGAGCTCCAGGCCGCACACAGACCACAGGGTTAATCTGGGACTCCATCTAAGAGTCGGCTGTGACTAAGGGCCATGCTACTTGCTCCTCTGGCCTTACTGCTTAAGCACTGAGGAGCTGGGCCAAGATGTCTTTCTCTGTGTTGTGGGAAAGGATCTCTTGCTATATGAAGTGGTGGGCTGAAGGCTCCACAGGGTGCTGCCGGGTATGCTGGCTGCAGCTCCTGGACAGTCACTCTGCTGTGGCTGTGCTGGCCAATGCCGCAGAAGGACCTGGAGAATGTTCTTTCCTGCCATCCCCAAATGATCTCCAAGTCCCTTCCCGGCTCCCTGTGTGGCACAAGCTGTCTTGCTGGCACTGCGAGTACTGCAGCCCTGTGCATCCTTTCCTCTGCTGTTCAGGTGGTGGGCTGTGTTTTTCTGGCACAGGAATATAGGAAGAGAGGAGATGCCAAGGCTTTGGTGCTGGCACGGAGGAGAGGTACTGCTGACAAGCAGGCTTGGAGCTCAGTGCTCACTGCCACTTTTGATTCATTTCACCCGGCATCCGCAGTACAGGCACAGAGAAGAAACACCTCAGAAAGGGCTGTTCTTCAAAATGTGGGGGGACAGGAGAGGACAGTGTCAAGATGATGACGATGCCCTGGCCAGAAGTGTCAGAACAGTTATTCCTTCATACCATCGTGTTGGAGCCATTTCTCTCTCTTCAAAGGCCTACCTAAGAGGTCAAGAGAGCCAGGAGAAAGACAGGAGTCGCTGAGCCACACAAGGAAGGCCTATGGCTCAGCCATGCCGCAACAAAGCTGAGAGTTTGTCCAGCGGCCAGGCTGAATGTCCCTGACCCTAGCCTGTAGGCAACAGCACAGATGACTCCTTAGGACACCTTGAAATTCTACACACACACACACCCCCCCCCCAAATTAGGGATTTGGTCACTATTTCCTATCAGATGGACAAGTCCTCACCATGGGTATTTGTCTGGTCGCCTTCCACACACCCTCTGGCCTGGCTTCCTCTGTGGGCAATTGAGAGCCCAGGGTTGGCTCCAAGTGCCCTCACCCCATCCCATCAGCTTGCCCATGCGTGGGCTCACTCCCCTGTGCCACTGCTCCTCTCCCCAGTCTCTTACCACACTGCTCAAGATCTGCTGGCCAGACTGAGGAGCCCCTGACCCTCAGCATACGCACATACAAGTGTCCTTACATTCTTCTCTTAAGAAGCCGGAGGTTTCCAGTGGGGCAGCAACACCCACAGGGGACACTAAGGGACAGCATCACCAGAGCACCACAGGCCCTGCTAGAGCCTGGGGGGAGAGATGTGGGCCAGTTCAGATGCCTTGACACCGTGACCATCCTCCCTGGATGATCCCGGATGCCTGTGAGTGAGTGTGAGTACTTGGTCCCAAATTATTAATCCAATCAGAAACGAGAAGTCTCAAAGCTGATGCCCCCGCCCCCATTGTAAAGCTGGTAATTTGATGAAAAGCAAGCTTCTTCAGGTGGGGAGCCTGTCTTTTGCCTGACTCAGCCCACAGCAACTCAAAGAATTAGACCTGAGCCCTCCATCTGCTGTTCTGTCCCCCCCCCCTCCCCGGCCGTGTACTTACTGGTTCCCTCACTGTCTTCTAGTCTCCTTGCACTATTTAGTGAGCAGAAACCCATGTCTTCTTCCTCTAGTGTGCGCTCTCCTTTCAACCATGTTTGGAGGCCATTTTCTTGAGGCAGCTGTGAGAAGATGTCTCCTTGTGCCTTACACAACAGTGATACATGTCTGGTCCAACCGGACAGTGCTACGCACATGCATGTAAAATCAAGTGTAATGTCTGAAGACAAGCTTGAGCTAATCCCACCTTATTTCATCCCCTGGAAATCAATGCAGTGCAAGCTTATGTTTCAAAAGCAAAAAAGAATTCTCTGGGCAGGCTCCAGTTCCCACCAAGAGGCCTCTCAGGGCTAAGCTCCGGGCCGCTGGAAGCTCCCTGCCTGGCGGTGTGCTCCTGCACAGCATGGAGCCCGTAGCCACTAGGGCAGCTTCTGGACTTCTCACAGGCCCGAGAGGCCTGAGCGCCAGTTACTGGGCAGCCCCCACTACCGTGCCCGTGGCAGGGCCAGCCCTGCAGCGTGGCTGCACACAGACTCTGCAACACTTTTGTAAATCATCTGACAAAGACTTACCGATTGTGACAGGATGTATCCAGAGTTGGGCTTACTAAATGGTCACAAGCCCCAAAAGTCTTTCTGATAAACGCAGTCGGCCTGATGTACTTCTCTGCTGTCTAATTGGTGCAAAGTTTGGAGACCTGAATCCTGGGTCTTTCATCCGGCTTATTGCATCCTCTTCCCTGACACAGGGTCAAGGTTCACATTTGAATCAGATTATTAGAGCAGCCCTCATTAAGTGGGAGCTAGGCTTGCCCCAAACGAGCACGCTTGTGAGAGAACTCGGCCATTTACTCAGCAGATTTTCACATGTTTGGGGGCCTGAATGTCACCCGGCATGGCTCTGTGCTGAGGAGTCTCAGACATCTCCAGCTGCTGATTAATTGTGAGTGATGGGAAATAAAATCCAGCAAGGCCAGCTGCTTGCCATGGTCGGCAAAATGACTCTAATGGAGAGAGGCTGCCAATTTCCCAGTTTTACTGGCAAGTCTTCCAAGTGTAATTAAGGGAAGTTATAAATGATATGGAAATCTATCAAGTTCCATTTATTTTCAGAGGACTCCTTTCCCAGGGGACTTTTATCTTGAAGCTTATAGTATGCTTTGTTGTGCTAATGATTTAAGCCACATCTTGGTTCTGATTAAAGCCCCCAAGCTCCTTATACCAAGGCCCCTTCACTCCTTCCACAAAGATTAAAAGATACAGAACCTTCCCCAGCACAAGCCCCCTCTCTCCGAAAACATGCTCTGATGGGACCCGAGTGGCAATGTGCATCGTTCCAACTGCAAACTGCCACTGCCCCTAAGAAGCTCAAAGAAAGTACAGGGTGGGGAGGAGAAGGAGGAAATCTCTGCCAGACATAAAAGCAAGACCCTCAGAGTGAAGCCTGGAAAGCTGTGCTCGAGAGCAGACATTCGTCAGAAGCTGCTGTAGCCACTAACGGTGTCTGATTTGGAATAAAAGCATGAAAATGATGGCGAAGGCCTAAAATTGGAGACGTAAAGGGTGACTGCACAGCGCTCCATTTCTCAATTTCATCCTTCAGAGCCACAAAATGGGGGTGATACAGTGACTGGATGAGCTTTACAGTAACAGCTGTGGTCTTCCCACACAAGGGAGACCCTTCTAATGGGCTGAGGTCTGTTGGCAACAGACGGGGAGGAAGAAAACAAGGGTTCCTATTAAGGGCGCACAGTCGTATTTCTGATGGAGAAAGTCATTATGGGAGTCGGGTTTCCTTTAAGATGGTCCCTACCTTCTCTTGTCATCCAAACCTAAGGCTGTGTTAAAGGTGCTAGTGCTTAAAATACAGAGCAGAGGATGCAAATGGCGTCGAGTTTGTGCCCCCCCCCCCCCCCCCCCCCCGAAGCAACTCCAGCAACTGTACAGAGTGCAGAGGAAACTGTGCCAGTGGCATATGGCTTTCTACGGTGCTAAATATCCATACAAAAGACAGGTTCATCAGTCATTGGAGGATCTGGGTAAAAATGAGCTCCTGATGGATGGTATTTGGAGCTTACCTGCTGCCAGGACATCGCCACAGAAACACGGGTTTTGAAACCCACATGACATTAGAAACTGCAGACCATGAAACACGACACATGCAGGGGCAGATAATGCACGGCAGATTATACAAAATAATAAATAAGCTATTTAAACCCTCTGCCTAAAATCGGGCCCGCTGCAAGGAGCCCGGGTCACTTCTATGCAGGCCAATTAATGCGCAGCATCTGCTGTATAGAAGCAGGGCACGAAGCACTTCCGAATGATTCCGGCAATTAAAAGAAAACTGTTTCCTGCCTGTTCAGACAGCAACTGTTTCCCTGCAAGAGTGAGCACCAAATCGGTGTGCAGCTGAAAAATTCAGGCCCCTTCTGGGGAAGAGGCATGGGGATGAGGGGGGTCGATCCTTTATGGAAAAGGAGCCTTCTTTTGTTGTTCTGTGTTTTTCTGCCAAGTGAGACAGAAGGCTCAAGGGCTTATGGGCCCACTGCAGTCTCCCCTTCTGCTGCACTGGTCCCCCAAAACCAGGGATCCACATCAACCCTCCTGACCAGATCAC